TAAAACATTTTAAAGGACAATTAGAAACAATAGAAACAATTATGGCAAATAAATTATTAAAATATGAAACATTAATGATAATTAATGATTTTTCAAATATTAATCATAATATTTTTCAATCAATTAAACAAAAAGTTATTGATTTAACAATTATTCTTTATCCAGAAATTATAATTGATTTTGAAGGACTTACAAAATTAAAAAGATTAAGAATTGATTTTAATAATAATGATGTTTCAATATTTGAAGAATTAATAAAAGAATGTTTTTTAAAAATTAAAAAGAATAATAAAAATGAATTAAAAGAAATATATTTTAAAAGTAATGGGAAATATGCAATAATATTAGGAAAAATATTAAATGAATGTAATTTAATTAAACAAGAAATATATATTAGATTTGATAAAATAACAGAAAAAGAATGTCAAGGATTTATTCAACAACAACCATTTACACATATTTTTGTAACAAGAAATGAATTAATTGATAGTATAATAAATAAAAAAGTAAAATTAATGCCAGATAATGAAAATAATTATTGGATATCAAGTTCATTAATAATAAAAAAAGAATTTATTAAAGAATTTAGTTTATTAAATTGTCCAATTAACATAAATATTAATGGAAATTGTAATAATGAAAATATAAAAATAATTGATATTACTACATGTACTACAATAAGTTCTATTATATTTAATGATTGTCATTATATTAATAAATGTTCATTAATATTACCTAAAAATATTATTTCATTTAAAATGATTAATACAGATTCAATTAATATTTCAAAATTAAATGAATGGAATATTCAAAAATTAGAATTAATATCATGTAATTCATTTTATACATTAAATATTCCTTCATCATTAATAGAATTATGTATTGATAAATGTATTTTATTAACTTCATTAGAAAATTTAAATAAAGCAAAATTACAAAATTTAAAAATAATAAGTTGTTCTAAAATAATTAAATTAGATATTCCATCTACTCTTACATATCTTCAACTTAATGATTGTTTATCAATTACTCATCTTTTAAATTTAGAAAATGCATCTATTAAAGATTTATATTTAAAATATTGTACTTCTCTTACAACATTATGTCTTCCTTCATTATTAACTTTAATTCAAATTAGTAATTGTGAAAAATTAATTGAACTTAGAAATTTTAGTGAATTAAAATTATTATCATTTGAAACTATTGGATTATTTAATGTTGATAATTTAATATTTCCATCTTCTTTAACTTATTTAAATCTTCAAAATTATAATTCAAATCAAACAACTACATTAACTAATCTTATTAAACTTTATCAACTTAAAAATTTAAGAATATTAGATGCTAAATATCTTGAAATGTTATCTTTTCCAGTTAATTTAACTTCACTTATTCTTCATGGATGTCATTCACTTACTTTTTATCCTAATTTAATGGAATTACCATTAAAATTTATTGATATTACATCATGTGATGCATTAACTTGTTTAAGTTTTCCAACAACATTAACAAAAATGATAATAAATGATTGTCAACATGTTATTGAATTTCCTAATTTAGAAGAAATGATATTATTAAAAAATATAGAATTAACTCAATGTCCTAGTTTAGAAATTATTCGTTTTCCTCTTTCTTTAGAATATTTAAATATTTCTAAATGTAAAAATTTATTTACTTTACCTAATTTATATGAATTAAATATTCCTTTTAAAAATTTATTACCTTTCTATTATAATCTTAAACATCCATTAATTCCAATTTATCTTACTGAAATTATTATGAA